GCTACAATGGCAAAACCGTGGTCCCAAGCCAGACGTGTTTGTGTTTTGGCCCGAGCTCTGCTTCCTAAACCCCTAAACCTGCTAGACACGAAGCCCCAAAAAACCCTAAATTCTAGGCCCTAAACCCTAAAGCTTAAACCCTAAACCCCACAGCCCCCAAACATGAAAGCTCAGGTGCTGGAAGCCTGGACAACCCAGGTTTTTCCATTTTCCGGCCTTTCGTTTGAGCTGCTTCTTTTCAAATGCCGATGTCCCCTGCAGATCCCTGCAGGGTTTAGGGCTTAGGGTCTAGTAACCTGGAGGCCGTTGTCAGGTTCCACATGGGGCCAAGCACTCCTGTTCATCTACTCAGGTAGTGACAATGGCTTTAGGGTTTAGGGTTCAGGGTTTAGGGTTCAGGGTTTAGGGTTTAGGGTTTAGAGTTTAGGGTTTAGGGTTTTGGTCACGCAGCTTGGGGGCATCTTCGGCATCAGTAGGCGTCGCGCAGCTCTGTGTTTAGCGTCTACAAAGTGAGATGCAAGCGGAACGTGTAAGCAAACTTGGCTTGCAATTGTTTAAGCCACTCTGCTTGTGGGAAACAGTGGGTGTTTATGTTAGCTTTTCATCGGCCATTCATGGCCCTGTGACAACGCAGCTTCCATTGGCAACAGGAGCGTTTCCCCGCCGGGAGAACATCTTCCCAGCAACGGTGGTCCCCCACCTTACCAGACCTCTCTGAATGAGAGGATATTTATGGCCCAACACGGCCGGAGTCTGAGAGACTCGCAGGTAAAAGGGGGCAGGGCAGCTCAATGCTAGACTTCCCCGAACTCCGAAAACCTCCACCCCCTTGCCTTAAACCTGAACCCTACACCCTCAACCCTAATTTAAACGTGAAGCAGACAGAGGGGCATTAACCCCACTCAGGGTCGAACAAGACACCCTCAACCCTCAAGCGTCCTGAAGCCCACCGAGCCCCAAACCGTAGCGTTTAGGGTTCAGGGTTCACTTTGGAGTTGGCTTGGGCTGGCTAAGTCCTGAGCGCTGACACCTTGACACCTGCGCCGCGCTTGCTCACACGACCTTCAGCAGGATCGGAGAGTTAGGTAGGTATGGTCATGTGTCATCTCGCCCGCATTAGAGCTGATAGGTCCAGCGGGTGTTATCTTACGGGCGGGCGCCCTTACTTCTCAGACCGTCATTTGGGTGATGGTCAAAATCACGGTCCCTTTGTGGATCCCTATTATAATACGGCACCTAGAATTTAGGGTACCCCAAAAAAGAGATCATAATTTTGACTAACGCCCATTTGCAGACCTGGATATCCAACTCCCTCCCCTCGTCTCGTCAGCCGGTCGCTTGGGGGGTTTCATCTGCCGGGGGCGGGTGCTACGCGGCGCGCCGGGCGGTGGAGGCTGGGCCATGGCGCCTTAAACCCCTAAACCCTAAACCCTAAACCTTACACCCCCACCTTAAACCTGGGCCTTGCAGAAGTCTGAGCCAGTTCAGGTGCCATGGCTCTCTCGCAGACATGGAGTGCAGGCCTTCATTTGGAGAGGACCCGAGAGGTTCTTGTGACTCAGTGACAACCATAAACTCTAAACCCTAAACCCTAAACCCTAAGCCCTAAACCGAGAAGCTCGCTTCTGATTCGAAAGCCCTTAGCCCTAAGCCCAAACTAAGCAGCCAACTCAACCCTACCCATGTCGTCCCTGCAGGAGCACCGCCACTTCGGGCAAGATGTGCGGGGCCTGCGTCACATACTGGGGCTTCTGGGTCCCCTTATAGTTTGCACTATATCTCTATACGGATCGTTCGGAGGTTTCAAATTCGGGTCCCGTTCTCTTCAGGACTATGGCATTTGGGTGTCTATGAGGGGGTCCCCTATGTTGAGCAGTGCGCCAGGTTCCTTTCTGGTCGCAAAGGTTCAGGAGTTCAGGGCTTAGGGCATAGGGTTTGCCGTCGTCGAATAGAAGTTTCATGGTCCCTTATTATGGTACCTGCCCTTGGGTTGTATGAGGTATATCAGGGGTATATAAGGGGTCCCCTTCCAAGGGCATGTAACTTCCCTTTGCTGTCGTCCAATCCTTGCCCGAATTTCCTTTCACGCTCCCGTTGAGAGGATTTTCTGCAAGTGCGGTGTCTTCATCATCTCCTGGTGTTCTGGCTTAGACCGCCCTAAACCCTAAACCCGAAACCCGAAACCCGAAACCCTTTAACCCTTTAAACCCTAAACCTTAAACCCTACAAGCCCCTAAACCCTAGTTGAGAGAATCCGTGTGCAGCCCCAGGCAGATCCTTCCAAAGTCGTTGAGCCAGGGTGCACTGACGTCTTCAGGTCATCCCTGCGAGTTTATTCGACCCTAGACCCTGCCTCAACCCTAAACCCTAAGCCCTAAGCCCTAAACCCTAAACCCTAAACCCTAAACCCTAAACCCTAAACCCTAAACCCTAAACCCTAAACCCTAAACCCTAAACCCTAAACCCTAAACCCTAAACCCTAAACCGATACCTTCTTGGAGGCCTCCTCAGCTTGCGACAGCCCAGGGGCTATGGCCGTTAGAAATGTGGCCATCAAGGCTCCAGAAACCTTGGGGGGAAGGCCCTTGATTCTTGGTACTTTTGGGAAGGCTACTTACTGGGCTTTGGAGTACTATGCTTTAATACTTTTTTTGGTTGTGGGTTCCTATTATGGCTACTTATGCCCAGGGTTTACTCCAAAGTAAAGCTTAAGCTTAACCTTGTTGCTTCAGGGTCGTTGGAGAAAAACGTTCTACAGGAGCGGGCCGGCTCTTTAGGGAGTTCAGGGCTTCGGGGTCCAGGGTCTAGGGTTTAGGGTTTCGGGTTTAGGGTTTAGGTTTTAGGGTTTAGGGTGGGTTGAGGCCGGCATGATGCCGGTAGGCTCAGGATCGACTGCAAGTGCTGCGTTAGGTTTTGCAGCTTAGGGTTCAGGGTTTAGGGTTTAGGGCTCTGCGTGGCCATTTTTTGCGTTGTGCGCAGATCCCCAAAGGCTGATGCAGGTGCCGCTTTCGTGGCCTTGAAGGAGCTGGCAGAAGCAGTGAACGCTTCTCCGGTTGCGCAGCTGGCCCCCATGCTGCCTCGCGATGAACCGGATGCGGTAGCGTCCCTCAAGGGCCCCGAGGCTCTGCTTCTGCTCCGCCCGCCGTCTGGAGACAGCCACAGCAGTTACGGAGCCGAGCACTAGCCGCTCGCGTCACGAAGGTGCTGGTTTGAGGATCGCGATTGAAGGATGCCCAGTGGTGCTCTTTTTCCCGCATTCCCTTGTGGGGGTTCAGGCTCCCTTACACGCCCCTTTAGGCAAAGGCAGGGCGCCCTTCTTGATCCTAGGTTACTGGGCAGCCTAGAATTAACCCTGAACCCCAAACCCATCTACGCCCCAAACACTGAACTTGTTTTTTTCCATGGAGTCTGCCAGGCCCTTTCATGCGGAGCAAGACGATGGTCTGCCCTGCATGCTGCGGGGGTGGCTTAAGGTTTAGGCTCTAGGGTTTGGGCTGTGGGGTTTCGGGTTTATGGAGACCCAGCTTTTCGAGAGATTAGCCATTTGTTTGGGGCGTTGCGCTGGTTTATCAAGGATGGATTGGTCTGTTTCTTCCCTCAGCTTCCAGACTGTTCCCGGAGCCCTAAATCCTCAACTCTGAACGGGTAGGTGCATCCTGGCACTACCCCCTAAACCCTAAACCCTAGACCCTAAACATCCTTAAACCCTGCACCCAAAAGCCTAAGCCTAAACCTGAAGCCTAAACCCTGAGCCCTAAACTGGTTTGTGGTGGTGGCACGCCGACCTTCGTATCCGAAAGGCCTCTGGCTCTGAAGCTCCCAAACGCGTTCCTTCCACCTCGTTCCCTCAACCAGTCTGCGCTGAGGCGACACCCGCCAGGGTGTGATAAGCTATGTTGTTACTATGTGAACTACATTTTTTATACTACTTGTAACTACTTGTATGAGTTATATTCATAATTCATAGAGTTTTAACGATGCCGACATATGATCTATCATAGTTGGGGACGAGGGCCAGACGTCCCTCCAGCATTTTTCAGATGGGGCCGGGCCCTGCGCAGAAGCTGATGCGGGACATGAGAATCAACAATCGCCATTCGAGTCCTCCCCTGTCAGAGACAAGACAGAGAAGAGAGAGAGAGAGAGAGAGAGAGAGAGAGAGAGAAACAGCGGAATTTGGCCGCGCTGGAGTGTCGGGGGCCCTTGTCTCACATCGAGACCGGACGGATTGGGCTCGCCACGCGCGCGAGGGGTCTGCTGGCCCCTTAAGCCCTGTAGAAGAAGAAGAAGAAGAAGAAGAAGAAACAGCGGCATCGGTGCAAGTGGCAGCAACTCGGCAGGAGCGGGATCGGGGCGCGCAGTAGCGCGGGGTTCGCCCCATGCCCTAAGGGAAGAAAGAAAGAGAGAGAGGGAGAACCAGGTCGAAGATCGGCCAGAGGGAGACACAACCATCTCACCGGTGCAATAACAGCCCTGAACGGCCCACAGACCGGCTCGCCAACGACTGAACGTGGGGGTAGCTATGTACGGATCGTCCTGCCCGAGGTATATTTTGCTCACAAGGGGAGCCATAACAACCTGTGGAGGGGGGAAGGGGCAACCCGGTTGGATAGGAAGTGGATGGGAGCCTGTTCCTACAGCTGTATACCCTAGCACAGTCCCCTTCCCGGCTCGCTGGAACTTCACAATCTCGGTTAGCCCGCAGTACCAAGTAACGCACGCCTTCGGGCGTCCCTCCTCAATGGGAGGGTTAGGTGCGCAGAAAGAAAGAAAGAAAGAGAGACAGAGAGAGAGAGAGAGAGAGCAGAGCAGAGAGAGCACAAAAAGGGAGGGGAGAGAGAGATGGAGGGAGGGAAGGCAGAAGGAGGAAGACTTACTGTTGGCTAGTAGGGAATGGGGGAACAAGGTACCCTATATAATCCCTTAAAGGGCATATATATATATATATGTATATAACTCTACTACCCAACAGTTAAGAAGAGCGAGCAGGTGCCAGAAAGATGGCATGTCTTCCCGAGACCGTTTTCGGCAGGCAGCCCCACGGCGTCCATAATTCAATCAACCTCAGCCTCTAGACCAGGGTTTAGGGTTTAGGGTTTAGGGTTTAGGGTTTAGGGTTTAGGGTTTAGGGTTTAGGGTTTAGGACCCTAAGCCCTAAGCCCCAAACCCCACACCAGAACATCGGGGTCGGAATAATTACTACTAGTATTCCTTTGTGGTCCCCTTATAATTATACTATAATTTCTCCCCAAAACCCTATTCATACAAATTACTAGCAGTATTCCCTTATCGTCCCTGTATCAGTATACTGCAGTATACTATAATAACCCCCCAAAACCCTATTCTACTTATCCAGGCCCCTATATTGCGCTTGCGCATCCAAGGATCAGCCCCGGCATTGCCATGTGCAAGATTCGCACAGGCGACTGGGCCAGCTGGGTTTAGGGTTTCGGTTTAGCAGTGACGCAGTGATCGTGTAGGGCTTAGGGTTCCCTAAATTATGTTCCAAAATGGGGCCCTTTTGAGGGTTTCCCTGTCGAGAACTGCCCATCTGCCCCTGGCACAGAGGCGCTGCGTAGTGGTGCCAAGTTTTTTTTGCAGGGCAACGGCCTGGCTCCTTTCGGAGAGGGTCTCCTGCAGTGTCTTCTGAAGCAGAGCTGTTGAGGTGATACTGAACTCCCAGAAGATCTTGGTGTGCTGCCCTTTGATACCAGCAACTCAGATGCTCGGCTTGCACAGAAAATGTATACATGTATATATATATATATAGATACACATTGGCACATACTGGCTTGTACTTTACGTACATATACACATACACGTTAAATCAGCAGGAACGGGCAAACAATATGCGTTTCTGCATGGATAGTTCAGGCTTGGGGACAACGGCCTTGATGTGAGCAACAAGGGAGCCCCGGGTCTCTGAAGGGAAGGGTGCAGAGAACCCCTTGGCAGTGGGGAAAAGTTGCCAGTTGCCCCCGGTCTAGGGTTTAGGGTTTAGGGGCTTTGGGTTTAGGGTTTAGGGCTCAGCGCCGTCCCCTCCCCCGCGGCCCCCCACCCCGACAGAAGAGAGGATTCGGACAGCGACACGCTTGTTCTGCCTGGCTGGGCGTCGCCTACCTCCTCGAGCCTCGGTGACAAGGGTGACGCCGCCTGATTCTCAGGGTAGTTACATGGCCCCTTATATCCCCTATATACATATATATATATATATGTGTATGCCCTATGCAAATTAAGGGCTCATACATCAGAACGCTTTAAATAGTAAGGGCCCAATGAAATTACCCTTGGAGAGATGAGACCCATCCCACCCCTTTGCTAACTGGTTTGTGTAGATGCAACCTGCAGTCAGACCACCCGCGACATTATAAACCGTAAGCCCCAAACTGAATGAGTCACCAGCCTTGTCACCCCAAACCCCAAAACCCCAAAACCCAAAAACCCAAAAACCCAACAACCCCAAAGCCCAAAACCCAAACCCCTAAACCGTAAACCCTACTCCCCAAACCCTAGTCCCTACACCCTCAACCCTCAACCCTCAACCCTAAACCCTAAACTCTAAACCCTAAACCCAGGACTGATGAGTCCCCAGCCTTTTCGGACGCCACCGCCGAGTTTGCTTGGCCTTCGGCGGGATCCCAACTCCACGACCAAGGGCTGCTTGGAGCGAGCAGAGGGACCCACACCTCTTCAGGAATGGGGTGTTGGGGGTTTAGGGCTTATGGTTTAGGGTTCAGGGATGGTTTAGGGTTTAGTTAGGGTTTCAGGGCCTCAAGGCCTGGGGTTTAGTTTCCCTGCAGTTTAGGCCCTGGAATATAGGGTTTCAGGGCCTCGGTTTCAGGGCCGAAAGGCCTCAGGGCCTGGGGCGGGGTTTAGGGTCTCAGGGCCTCACGGCCTGCGGTGAGGATTTCAGGTCCTCTCAGCCAAGCCTCGCCCAACAAAGGCCCAGATAAGTGTCGCAACAGATCGGCTGTTCTCAACCATGTTCAAGGCAACGAGGTTTACAAAATGAGTCTTTTTTTGGTGTCCGTTCAATTCAAAGTTAACGCAGCGCGCAAGAGATGCAATGGCAAGAAAATGAGGTTGACAAAATTAGGTGTTCTCATTTTGTCCGTTCGTTTCAAGAATAGGCCTTTGAAGCTGAGATGATTGGAGAATTCTTTTGTTTTTATTTTGCAATGCTACGGGATTCTCTGGGTGGGTGTTATATCAGAGCCGTAAAAACAACTTTACTATAATTCTGCTCAATCCGGACCTGCTGAACCCTAAACCCCAAACCCTAAACCCCAAACCCTAAACCCTAAACCCGAAACCCTAAACCCCCTATGGTATGTTGAGGAATGTAACCTTGCAATGGGGAACTGTGGCCCCAGACCAGGCTCTGCAAGCCGTGCGCGTGGCTCTGGAAGCCTCGCGGCTGCTTGAATGGCAGCGCCTGCCTGCGTCTGGGCTCTTAATCCGAGGCAGGCCCTTGGGATAGGTTTAGGGTTTAGGGTTTGGGGTACAGGGTTTAGGGTTTAGGGCCAGGGTTTAGGGTTTAGGGTTTAGGGTTTAGGGCCAGGGTTTAGGGTTTAGGGTTTAGGGTTCATGGTTTAGGGTTTAGGGTTTAGGGTTTAGGGTTATTGGGTTTTAGAGGATCATATTCATGGTTTACCCTCGTTCCATGCTCTGTGAACTTTTAGCAGGGAAGCCATCTTGTCTACCGCATATGCCAGATTTTCGGGTTTAGGGTTTAGGGTCAGGGCCATCTTGTCTACCACAGCTCAGCAGCCCAGGCATTGCCACCTCTGCCCCAAGAGCGAGGTGAAGTCTCGGAAGAAGATCCGGGCCAAGGCCCGGAAGTCCCAGGCGCCGGACGTCTCCCTGGAGAAGGACAACGCCCAGCCCGGGGCGATGCCATCCCTGCCCATCCCACCTCCACCCGGGCTCTCCCTCCCGCCAGGGCTCTCCCTTCCACCAGGGCTCCCCCTGCCTCTGCCTGTCTTGCAGGCAGCAAGCCCCGAAACCCAAGAACTCCCCCCGATCCTCTTCGAGCCCTTCGAGCACGTGGAGACCCTTGAGGCGGAGGCTGAAGACAAAGTTGAGGACTGTCTGGTCCCCTAATCCCTCAAACCCTCAAACCCTCAAACCCTCAAACCCTCAAACCCTCAAACCCCAAAACCCTAAGCCCGAAACCCGAAACCCTAAGCCCTAAACCCCAGCTGGAAGATCCCTTCTCGGATCCTGAGGACGTGGGCTCCGCTGGCTCCGCACAGGAGGCCCCCCCCCGTCCTGCTCTCTTGCTCTCAGGATGGAAGCCTCTTAGGGAGGGCGCAGGCTATATCGGATGAGGGTTTGAGGGTTTGAGGGTTTGAGGGTTTGAGGGTTTGAGGGTTTGAGGGTTTGAGGGTTTGCGGGTTTTGGGGTTTTGGGGTTTTGGGGTTTTGGGGTTTTTGGGTTTTTGGGTTTTAGGGTTTTAGGGTTTTAGGGCTTTAGGGCTTTAGGGCTTTAGGGCTTAGGGTTTAGGCGCAGGGCCACGAAGACAGAGCTGAGAATTTAAAGCCTTCCTCTCGGTCGGCTCGGCTTGGCATGCCCAGGTCGTTACCCTGTCCGTGGGCTCAGTGCTGCACGCCAGTGGGCGCTGCAACTCTGTGGCCGTTTAGGAAATCTGCTTAAGTTCCCAAGGAGGACACCCTACTGTTTACGATATACCCGTAGCAGGTATGGGAGCTTTTTTCAAGTTCCCTGAGCCTCAAGTTTCACAAAAACCCTAAACCCCAAACCCCAAACCCCAAACCCCAAACCCTAAACCCCAAACCCCAAACCCTAAACCCTAAACCCCAAACCCCAAACCCTAAACCCTAAGCCCAGGCAAGCCCTGCGGCTGGTTCTGGAAGTCCAAGGGCTGCGCCAATGGTGCAGACTGCTTGCACTGCCACCTGTGCACCGCCAGCCGCTTTCCTTGCCAAAGCCCTTAAACCCTTAACCCTAAACCCGAAACCCGAAACCCGAAGCCCAGGGTTTGGGTTTCAGGGTTGATACATTGACATGACCACACCTTTGAGCCACCTACGGTTTTGATGAACCCCCTACGTGCCCGAAGCCCTACCCTGAAGCCCTTCCCCGAAACCCGCCGAAAACCCCCTTCCCCCCCACACCCCCTTTCCCTTCCCCCTAACCTAACCCAAACCCTCCCCTAAGGCGTGTCGCTTTAGCTCAGGTCCAGCGGGCTTGACAAAAAATATCCCGACTGCCAGGCTAGCAAAAGAGCCCTAATCCGGCTCACGAGGACGCTAGAGAGGCCTCTGGCCTGTTATCCCAAAACCCTAAACCCCAAATCCTAAACCCTAGGCCCGAAACCCTAAACCCTTAGGGGGCCCCAAACCCAAAGACCGCATCAAGCTGCTGCGCTGAGGTGAAGCTCGCCGCAAGAAGAAGCAAGCCTCGAAGAGCAGGGCCCTCGGGTTGGAGCCGCAGGTACCTGACCAGGACGAGGGTTTAGGTAAGGGTATACGGGTTTAGGGTTCATGGTTTAGGGTTTAGGGTTTGGGGCTTAGGGCTTAGGCTCGAGTCCATGCAGTATACATGACGCAGGAAGCATTACCCACCCGTGCATTGGAGGCATATCATCACGTACAGACGCAACGCAAACGAACTGCATATTGCACCCAGACACACGAACAAGTATAAGTCAATCCTCTAGGGGCTTCCTTGTGGGGGCCTCCTTTACGGGCCTCTTTTCAGGGCCTTAGGGGCCTCCTTCGCGGCTTGCGTATTGACCGATCGACATTTATTCTCCTGAGCGATCGACCTTCTTTATGAGCGACTGACCTCTTCTGTCCGACCGCTTGACCTTATTTGCCCAACCGCTTGACTTTATTCGCCCTGACTGATTGAATTTGCCTACTCGGTTTATCTTTTTTGCCCGACAGATTGACCTAATTTGCACAAGTCAAAAAAATGTGTATATATTTATACGTGTGGTAGGGCTGGTAATGGTTTAGGAGACCTGCCAATGCCTCATAGTTCGTCAACGAGTTTTCAAGGATCCTCTGTTCGTTTTTTGCTTTGTTGTTTGAAGATTTTTTTTTCTTGGGGGGGGGGGGGGTTGTGAAGAAGGGGTACCAAGTAATGGGATCCCTTCTGAAAAGGTCCTCCAGCCCTAAACCCCAAACCCTAAACCCTACTGTACTTGATACCCCACACCCCTGAACCCTAAACTCCAAACCCTCACGTTAAGAGAGGACCAGCAGCTCCAGCTGCTCACCGAGGCGCTTGCAGGCTCCTCGTTGCCAACTTGGATTCTTCACAAGGGTTCAGGGTTTCGGGTTTCGGGTTTAGGGTTTAGGATTTAGGGTTTAGGGTTTAGGGTTTAGGGCAATTCTCACCCCTCACAAAACGTCCCTGGCGTTTAGTGTCTACTGTTCAGGTTGTATTGGACTTTTTGAGTTTCAGAGTACGTCCATCCGGGACGAGAGATCTCATGTGCACGTACGGCACGCCCGAACCCAAAGAAGGCGTAACAACATTGAGCCAGGGGCCTCCAGGCTGCAGGGGCACGAACACCAGCGTAGGCCACCTGACCAGCGCCGGTTACAGCTGGTTTCGATGGGGTTTAGGGCTTAGGGCTTAGGGTTTAGGGTTTAGGGGTTAGGGTTTAGGGTTTGGACGAACTGGCCAGACAGGGTGGACCCGAAACCCTAAACCCTAAACCCTACACCCTACACCCTATACCCTACACCCTACGCCCTACGCCCTACGCCCCAAACCCTAATCTGCCGGCAAGCAACAGTTTCTGGCCTGATGGAAGGGATTCGCCCCACAGTGGCCGCTGGTTCTGCTAGTTTGGACTCACAATGGGATTGTGCCGTCAAAGGGAAGATACCGACCGTTCAGCAAGAATGAGGATAATCAATTAGAATAGTAGTAATAGTACCGAAATATGCAGAGAGAAAGGAAGCAACAAGAATAGTCGTAGTACTAAATCGAATATCCGCAAGGATCGTAGCCAGGACAAACGAGTCGAACCCTGGGCGAAAACCTGCTCCCACATGGAAAGACCTGAAGGGATTTGTTTTGGAGCGCCCCCCCCGCCTCAAACTAAACCCGAAACCCTAAATCCTAAACCCGAAACCCTCAACCCCACCCATGTCCAGATTTCTGAGGTCTCCACTTTCAGGTCTGAGTGGGACCCTGCAGAGCTTTCCCGCTCAGATCGAGGGTTGGAGACCTTTGAGAGGCCGGGTAAGGTTTAGGCTTGAGGGTTAGGGTTATAGGCGTTATAGGTTATAGGTTTTAGGGGGTTACCCCTCCAACCCCAAGGCCCCCCCTAAACCCTAAACCCCAAACCCACAACCCTATACCCTAAACCCCAAACCCCTAAACCTAGACCCTAAACCCCTTTGGCGCTCCAAGAGGTCGGCATGGGGGACTTCTGGTTCTTGTTGGGTACCCCCTCGCCCCCAGTTTAGGGTTTAGGGTTTAGGGTTTGGGCCCAACTTCAGAAACACCGGCCCCTGGGGGCTTAGGGCTTAGGGTTTAGGTGAGGGAGTTCTCACTCCCTCCTACCCTAAACCCGAAACCCTAAACCCTAAACCCTAAACTGAAAGAAGCTCCTGCCAATCCCTGGAGGCTCCTCTGCACAGTACCAACAGTACGCGCGGCAGGGGAGTAACCACCTGAGTGAGGACGCAGTGGGATGCACAGATGCTTCGCGGCCCTCCGCGATGCTACGCACGATGTACGCAGGGAGAAGTAAGGAATCAGTAGATCGAGTGGCCTTACAGGGTTTAGGGTCGGCACAAGCTACATGGCTCGTATATCTCCTGTTTTAGATGCGGTGCTGTGCCAGCAACGTCGGGTAGACCGTCCAAGGCCATCAGTCGCTGGCCATTTGCTGCCTGCCGGGGCAAGATGCAGTTGCACCCTAAACCCTAAACCCTAGACCCTAAACCCTCAAACCTCAACCCTAACCCTAAACCCGAAACCCTAAATCCTAAACCCTAAACCCTTCGTTGAAGTGCAGCTTGCCATGGCAGTTTGCTGCACGAGGGTGCGCGCGTGCTCGACGCGAGTTTAGTGCCCGTCGGAGTGCTCCCCTAAGAGTCAAAGAGTCCTGGGACATCCTGAAAGTTTAGGGTTAGGGTTTAGGGTTTCGGGTATAGGGTTTAGGGTTTAGGGTTTAGGGCCCCCCCAGAACGAACTACATGTGTGCTTAGGAAATGGGATCCACGGTTACGCCCTAATACATTGGTTCTTGGGCCTAGGCACTTCCGGATGGGGAGCGTTTAGGGACCGCAGGGTTTTGCATTTAGAGTGCTGTTTGTGGCTTTCATTGACTCACGCAGAGTTGTTGGATAAGTTCTCGGGCTGTTCAATATAGTGTCTGCATGACTCTCGGTCATTGATGGCTTGCCACCTTGCATGCCTGAGGGTGGAGCTACTTGAAGCCCATAGTATTACGTCGGGGAGAAGTATCCCCTGAGTGAGGTACGAGGGGGACCTGCCAACCACTAACCTCTACAGTACCTCTACATGAGGGTTTACGAAAATAGGGGACCCCTAAAATAGACCCTGAATAGTAGGATCCCTTCTAGTCAAGACCCTAAGAAGGTACCCCTAAACCTCTCGACCCTAAACCCTAAACCCCAAATAGTAGGACTCTCTCAAAAACAAGGTACCCCCCCAACTTCGGAAACAAACCACATCGGTGTCCAGTTTCTTGTGACCTCGGCCTCCAGACGGGCCTATAGTCGACGCGAGTGTTGACATCTTCCAGCAGCTTGCATGCGAGAGGCTGGCAGGCCGGGAACCTTGAAAGCACCATGGGTGCAGGCCTTTGAGTACCCTAAACCCTACACCTAAAGCCTAAACCCTAAACCCTAAGCCCTAAACCCTAGACCCTGAACCCTAAGGAAAAAAGTTCCTTCCCTACCTTCCTACCAAAGTTCCCGGCCTCATGGACCTGGGATGCATCTCCCTCGTTGTTTGCTGGACGCAGGGAAAGCAAGCGAAGCCAGTGAGTCGGTTTAGGGCTTAGGGCTTAGGGCTTAGGGTTTAGGGTTTAGGGTTTAGGGCCTAGGGCTTAGGGCTTAGGGTTTAGGGTCGCAGCTTCGGTTCAAGTTCTTTGGAGTATTCTTGCATGTCTTCCACCTTCTGTTGTTTCAGAAGTTTTCAGACCTGTGCCTCCATCTAACATAGATGGACCGACGATGCCCCATGAAACCCTGTGTCTGTAAAGCCTTTCGCGCCCTGAGCTTAACACCCCAAACCTTGAGCAATGATCTTTGAAGGGTTCCGAAGTTCCTCCTCTTCTGGCTTCGTCTTGTGCTTCCAGCATTTGAAGCAGCGCAGCAATCCAGCTATTCTGCAACTTCAAGTGTGCATCAGTTGCACAGCAAGAGCGGCTTTGCTGCCCAGGGGTGGCAGGGTGGCTCCGTGGGTGTTCCGGGCTTGTTTTTCTGGCAGTCCCGAGAGCACTGTGTGTAGAGCGTTGCAGTGCTCATCCCCCCGTTCTTCGTGCCCTGACAAGGGGGCGCACCATTTTCTGATACCAGCGCCGCGCGCGAGTCCGTGATCTCCACAAACCCGAATCCCTGAGGCCCGAGCCCTAGAACGGAGCCCCGAAGCATAAGCTTCTGGTAGAGACTCGCGCACGGACTTCATGGGCCCAATGCCTCCCATGTTACCAGCAACTACTTGTTCTGTTGCAGGTGTTTATCGACAGGCTGCCTGTTGGCAAGAGAGAGATAGGCCCCGAGGCCACTTAGTTGCCGCCAACAGACGGTGCGTGCATTAACTATGTCTCTTGGTGGCGCAGTGGTACACTTTTCCCTCTTTTGTTTTTTTGCTTCTGGGTTGCCTTATAAAATAGCCAACCCCAAAAAGGGTGCCCTTATGATAATACGGTTACTGGGCTACCGAGGTCTACTGCAGCTTGGAACTTGAGCTGATGGACATGAGAATTTGTTTTAAGCTACATTCTGGCCAGCGCCGGAGCCAAGTTGATGGTCAGAGCTGGCTACCGCTGGCAAGCTTGGCCTGAACCCATAATTTGGGGTTCACCCTAAACCCTAAACCCCAAACCCCAAACCCCAAACCCAAAACCCCAAACCCTTTACAAGCCGAAACCCTACACGTCAGATATTTTTCGGGTCTGCTTGGGCACCCGGTTTCCCTAGATATTTGAGGGCCTGCATGAGTAAAATGGCCACCCACATAGGGACCCCCAATTAGGGAGCCCATCATGTCCGACATTCATTCGCAAGGCAGCAATTCCATTGCAGCTGCCGATTACTTGTTGAAATAGAACCCATCAAGCGTTTTCGTTCACAGAGGGTTTAGGGTTTAGGGTCCGGTTCAGGGTTTCGGGGCGTTCTCTGGGAACGATAGCAGCAGCTACCCAGCAGTGGCCCCCTGAAGCCGCCCCCGTAACACCAGCCATTCATGATGCAGACGCGCTTTCTGATGTTGGCTTTGAGTGCTGGCTGGAGTCCTGTGGAGGTACTCCACAACAACGACGCAAGCAGCCAAGGACGAAACATGACTACCGTTGTTTGTAAGCTGGGATTGTTGCCATGGCTGTGCTTGCTGGTTCTTTTCGTAGGCTCCGTGAATATGTACCAAAGTCTACCCTTTTAGTCGCTACAGAGTTATCGTATCCCCTTTTGATCGCTAGAAAATTTTCAAGTACAGCCTACCCAACACACCCATTCTGTAGCATAGCCGCATCCTTGCTTGAGTGCTATGTGCTCAGGGCAGCCTTAAGCGGGTCGTTATCCCAATTAAGGATTTGGCCACTTGTTCCTTGAAGCTGACTTGCGTCGGTCCGTGTGACTTGAGGTCCGCGCGCACAGCAGACACAGATGACATTTCCTGTGTGTTGATTTCTCTAAACAGCTGGCGGAGGGATCGGTCAAAGCACCCCATAGAGTCGAATACCTCTGTTTTGGGGTTTAGGGTTTACCGCTTAAAGGGTTGAATGACGTATGAAGGACCCACCCTAAACTCGAAACCCTAAACCCTAAACGCTAAACCCTAAGCCCAAACGCTAAACCCTGGACCCTGGACCCTAAACCCCAAACCCCAAACCCCAAGCCCTAAACCCTAAACCCTAAACCCTAAACCCTAAACCCTATCTTGTTAAACAGAACGCTCCTTAATGTCAACGCTCACGAGCCCCACCTCGGCCCAACGAGGTGTGTCGGGGGGGGGGGGGGGGGGGGGGGGCGGGGGGAGGGGGGGTGGGGTTGTGGGAGGTCATAAATGGCCCACAAGGACATACAGTACCATTCCATAGACCGATTCCGGGAGTTTAGGGTTTATGGTCTTCACCTTCACCCTAAACCCTAAACCATAAACCTCATCAGTCTATTGGGGGGGGGGGGTGCATGGGGGGTCGAAGAAGGTCCAAGCTCGAGTGGCCCAGATCCCCTTAGAGATTCCAAATCGCTCAGCGAGACCACGCAGGCTTGAGCCATGGCTGATGGACACCTGAAAGGGTCGCCCAACTCGAGTCGCCTGGCACTGTCGCAGTCGCTGGAGGCCCCTGGGAGCCGCTGGGAGCCCCTCTGGGAGGCCCATGCTTAAACCATCCAGAACGCGAGGGCGTGGGCTGGGAGGCTCCAATCGGACCACGAATGCTGCAGGCTCAGAAGTCAGGCATCTTTGGAAAATCTGGAGCCTCTTCACGTCCCTTCGGCCCCGTCCCCTGCGCAAAACCATGACCCATTTTTTGCCTATAAATGCCGCTCCCGCCCTGAAATTTTCTACGAAAGCCCCAGAGGGAGTTCCTTCCAAGGAGGCCCTTGGCACTCCTCAACAAATTGGAGGCCTTCCATGCCCCGGACAGAAGGAAGCATACTCAATATTGATCCGAAGCACAGCATTGAGTGCAGAGGTATTTGAACGTGGGCTGGCTTTGGTTCGGCTGGCTCTGGCTTGTTTCGCTTGCTTGGGTGGCCTTGGGGTGGGCATGTCTTCATACTATTGCGTTCAGCTAGCCAGTGCTACACCCTAAACCCCATACCCCAAACCCCAAACCCTAAACCCTAAACCGTTTAGCCTTAGGCAGGCCTTTGACCCTCGGCAGATTCAGTGTTGACTCCTTTGCTGTCCCATGGGTTTGGGATCCACCTCGCAGCATAACATCCTAAAGACTTAAACCCTAAAAACTCTTGTGGGATT